TTTTTGCCATATTTTGTAATTTGGCAAACTCTTTCTGAGAATACATCAGAAAAAGGGATTGTCTTATCCTCGTTTTGGTTCGAACCAGCCTGTGTAATGTGTCTATATTTTTTTAATTCTCCTATCATACCAATTAGTTCAAATGGGCAATATTTATCTAAAAAGGTTCTATATAAGCAATACAGCCTTCTTTTTTGTTCATATTGCATCTAGTACTGTTTTATTTTAAAATGTCACTATCAGTCACTCTTCAGAGTGGTTTTCAGTCTTTTCCTTCTTCGGCGTTTCATTTTTATCGTTATCTGACAACAGTATAATAAAAGGAGCGTCGCAAAATAACTAAAATCCAATTCCATTGAATATTATTTATCTCCTACTTTCTATATTTCCTCTCAAAGAGCATACGTAGATATTATTTTTTGCCTTTAAAAGAGATACTAGCTATTATAGCCATAGCGACCTTTTATTAAATTTAGGATCTTTTATATTAATCTAAATTTATTTGTTTTCTCTACTTATTTTCTTCATCACATGGAATCCCATCCTACCCAGCCTCCCCGCCACACAAGCGTACTTTCGTGGCTGCCGAGCGGTTTGATGACGCTGTAGTCTTTGTTAGTCGGTTTTTCAATGGCACTTCCTCCGTCTCCTCAGGCACTACAAACTCCACTGTAACGTCCTTACTACCAGATATTCCCGATCCTCAGCCTCCCTCCCAGTTGCCTTTTTCGCCGATGCCGATTACAACTGCAACGACAACAACCAACACAATTAATATAACAGATCCAACCCCTTCGCATATACATTTATCCGGCGATCAGCCGAGACCACGTTTGTATGTGCTTTCACCACATGGACTTTTGATTGGAATGCTCTGGATTGCCTACATACCTGGAGTTATTTACCTTGTCCTCACCCAAACTGCATGGCTCATATATTTTATGATAGCTAATCTCACTTTTGCCGGCATACAGTTGACCAAAGGCGGCGTCGATCTCTTGGCAGCAGAATGGGCTGGCTTTCCTTTTTGTCGAGCCAATACCGATGATCATGCTCCTACTTGTTCCGATGAAAGCAACAGCATAGCC